CAAGGCCACGCCACAACTGACATAAGTGATACGGGTTAATTGCCTCACTCATCCCACACCATGCCAGGGTCACGCCCTCCCTGTAGCATCACTTACCCAGGGGTCGTGCCATCCCTAGTCATTGATGTGAGGAACCACAATCACATCACAATCCACACAATCTCTTGCAATTAACCCTATGTCAGGGCTGCCATATTTGACATAAGTGATAGGTGTTAATTGCCTTACTCATCTCACACCATGCTAGGGTCACGCCCTCCCTGTAGGATCACTTACCCAAGGGTCATGCCATCCCTAATCATTAGTGTGAGGAACCACAATCATAATCATATTCACATTCATCACATTTCATCTTATAGCTCAATTCCATATCACATACACAATTCCATATCACATACACAACAGATAAGTCCAACAAAATAAGGGTTTACACACCCCTCAAGCAATTCACATCTAGATCATCAATTCTTATCAATTAATACAATAATAACATTCATAAATTAATATAATAATCAATGGAATTATCAAATTTAATATAATTTTAACACAAACAGTAAAACCCCCAATTGTTCCAAGACCTAGCTCACATGCACTATTCTACAGTTTCGTTCTCCCTCTCAGATCATCATTCTTACAAATTAAATATATATTTCTAATCCTCAACACATATAGAATCTAATGGGATCATCAATTTCTCAAACAGAAATAATCCAAATTTTCCAAAACCTAACTTACAGGCACTTTTCTATAATTTCGTTCTCTCTCTCAAAGCATCATTTTTACAAATAAAATATATATTCATAATCCTAAATTCATACAGAATCACATAAAATCAATAATTCTCCAAACAAAAATAATTATAAAATTACTCATAATCTTATGGGTTCTTCCTCTACCCAATTCCCTCATGTAACTCTACATATAAGTAATTCCCTTTTCCCCCGTACCTTGATATGTAGAAGCTGAACCTACACAAGATCTGGTTGGTCTCCCTCGCTGGGTTCCCCTCGGTCTGAAGCAGAAAGTAGAGGGAAAGAAGAGAGAGCAGAAGAAAAGAAATCAAAAAACGAGAGGTGTGCTTTTTGAGAGTGACAAAGCGCTCTATTTATAGGCATCAGGCTTCGCTGGAACGACCCGTTCCAAATCCTGAACGGCCCGTTATGGACCCTTAACTCACGACTAAAAACCACATCCAGAACGGCCTGTTCTCAAACCAGAACGGCCCGTTCTGGGGTGCATTTAATACTCACAACGGTCATATTTTGGAAGGACCCGTTCTCAATTTGGGAACGCCCCGTTCCCATCTAAAATTTGTAGCTGATTTTTGTATTTTGGAACGGCCCGTTCCAAGTTGGGAACGGCCCGTTCTGGACTACTAAAACACCCCTGCGAATTACTAAATTACCCTTATTGAGCTTCCAGGCCCTCGTACATTCTATGAAAATTGGGCTATTATATATATGATAAAAAAATTATTTTTATTTAATTAAAATTGAACAAATATTTTTAATGTATTTAAATATATAAACTAATTTTTGAATTAAAAAATAGTAAAAATTATTCACGTAAAAATAAAACAGAAAATATAATTTTACATAAATTAGAGAGAAATTTTTTGTTATAAAAATAATGTGCAAAATTCATATTAAAAAATGAGAAATAATAATTAAAAGAATGAAAATAATTGAATCAGAATAATTTTTTTTGGTAATGAAATTAAAATAATTTAATGAGACAATATTTATAATATAAATTATTTGTTAACCACATTTCAAATTATTTAACATGTATAATTGTAACTGTATTATATTTATCTATATTTATAATATATATATATATTAATTAATCTTT